ACACATCTACATTTTCTGGATACACCATTTTTCTCAAACCATGGGGTTAGTCTAGATTGTCATCCCTAGCTCCCGTCAACCACAACAGATTCTCATTCTTGTATGCATAAAAGTAAGTTAATAACTTAATATTAGCTAATTCACCATACTAACTGTTGTGTCTAACTAATTCATTTGAACTTTTTGTTGTTTAGATGGTCGACTCTCGGTATGAGTTACAATAGATGTCCTAGACATTGTATTATTTAATACTGTAATCTCTTGGATCACCTTACAACTGGAGATGTAAGGCCACTAAATGAATCAATTTATTTTTTATATCACCCATTTTATGATCTAATATTTTTCTTTTCTCTAGTTCATTTGGCGTCATATCTAAACATGGAATACCTACATGAAGTCAGAGAGGAAGATGCGGCCGTTTGGACTGCATGCGTGCCGATCATCATATTCACCATTGTGTAGATGCAGCCAGTGACCGTATCAAACTAGAGTATGGAATGCATCAAAACATCCCAGATCCCCCGATTGACCTCGATAAATGGCACCTACAAAAAAATAGTGATCAATGGAGCTATTTCGACTAGAAACCCCGTCTATACCAACTAATAATTATATGGTTTGGTACAAATCGGTTGTAACTGGGTTTATCTCCGAAAAGAGGTATCTTACAACCCACGACAAACCATCTACATACAAGAAGCTTCAACATCTAGGCCACTAGAACATTATTGGACCTGTTACTCACAACCCCCTACCCAACAAAATTACCAACCCACAAACACACAAACCCACCATCCAAACATGCCAAACACCCAACCACAATACCAAGAGCGTCCCCGATACCATCTCCAACAAAATGACTATTATAAAGACACCCAAAATGTATATTCCCCTAATACGACATTAAGATATAGCCAAAACGCCTAAACATCATACCATATCCATAACGCCCAAATATCTTTTCATAGCCAAAACGCTCAAACATCACACCCTAACCTACACACACAAACATCCCAACAACCTTATAATTTTCAAATACCAATACCATCTCAACCTTTCACCAACGAAGCCTTCACACCAATGCCCCCCTCCAATCGTCTAGGTCGCACACCAATGACCCCTTAATCACATCCCAACTACTTTGGAATGGTTTGCGAGTTCAGTTTCAACATACAAGACTTCTTGGAAATGCAAGAAATTCTTAGTGATTTTACTGGGAATTTTCCTAAGACCTCAAACATCTAGAGTGAATCTACAACGAGGAAAACGAGGGCAACGAGTAAGGGTTCCTAGGAGATGTGGAACCGGTGGCCGGTATGACCAACTCGGTCGCTAACATTAATTTATGTAATATTATTTTTAATTAAATATACTTATTTATGTTTAAGAAATTGCACTTTCCACCCTATCTCCAATTGAATTGGCGACATAATTCAATACTTTACATTGTGGCGCCAATTGGATTGGCAACTTGGATTGGCAACACCATGTGGTGTCTCCAATCCAATTGAAGACAACTCTTTACCTTTGTAAGGGGTCACCAATTCATCTGGAGCCTACACTTAATCAGTACCCTAATGTACCCTACACTTAATCAGTACCCCAAAGTGGGGTACTTTGGGGAATAATTTAAAAAGTGAGTTATTTTGGGTTATTTTTGAAAAAATGGGATATTTGGGTAAAAAACTGTTTTCTATCAGATAACATTTTTATTCCATCAATTGGAATATTAATACTATTTTCAAGAATGTTCCACAACTCATTATCAATGTTTATTATGTTATTGTATATCTTATTTTTCCACCATTCAAACTCTGTGGAATCTCCACTAAAGGTTTAATGTTTTTCATTATAGTTGTTCTTCTCAAGAACATTATAATCATAGCTCATATCATTGTTACTACTATTACCACCAGTACCACAAGAGTTATCAGACACAACAAACATGTTTTTCTCTTAGAATTTTTTCTGTACCACTGTTAAGTGTTTAGAGCACAAACCTTGCTTTGATGTCAACCGAATGTGAGAAAAACACAAGAAGAAAGATTGAATTGTGTTAACTTTTTCTTTCTTTTCTAAAAATCTCTTATCATATTTTGAACTCAAAGTCTATTATCTTATATATAGTCAAATGCTTGCAGCAGATACAAATAAGTTCAGAGGAGAGAGTGAAAGAAAGAGAGATACACAACTCGATCAAGTAAATAAGAATCTCTTACCGAGTTATGTTAATTGAAATCAATGACCAAATCAAAGTCAAAGTAAATAAGAACTTTTGGCAAATCGGTCAAGTAAATAAGAACCATTAACAAATCGGTCAAGTAAATAAGAACCTTTGACCGGGTTATGTTAATTGAAACCCCTGATCGAATCGAAAGTCCAAGTAAATAAGAACCTCTGAAAAATCGATCAAGTAAATAAGAACCTTTAACCAGGTTATGTTAATTGAAACCTATGACCGAATCAAAAATCCAAGTAAATAAGAACCTCTGGTAAATCGGTCAAGCAAATAGAAACCTTTGACCGAGTTATATTAATTGAAACCTCTGACCTTAAACAAAAGCCTAAGTTAATATACATTTGTAATTCCGTTCAAATTAACATACCTCTGACCTTAAGTGGTTTAGTTAACTTATCCCTATCCATACACCGATCCTCCCGAGGTTGGTCGGTCTGTGTTTAAACTGACGAGACCCATTAATCACTAAGGCCTGGTTCACTGGGGCTTTGAACCTATACAGTACAAACCTCAGCTAGAGATAAGCCAAGATCCATTTAGGGACGACCATTCTATTTGATTTCCATTTGAACAAATAAATTGTTATCGAAGAAATAAAGTGCAATAAGGTTGTATAACATTTCTAAAGGACTAACATGGTCACAAACTAAAACAATCTCATGAGGGCTCGAATATTATTGTTAAAGGACCAGGAAAATGTCCAAAACATTACAAAATGCATATGTAAAGGATGACTAGCAACAAAACGGTTGTGAAACACTGCTCAAATGAGAATGATCTCTGATTTTAATCACACCAAATATTCTCGGGCATCGGACTCTAACTCGCTTGGGTCATGTAAAGAATGAAGCAAGATATACTCAGAATTTGCCAACCTATAAACGTATGAATCTTTCAGGATTTAGTTACCACTAATATTCAAAAATACACATGGGCTATCACGACTCTAATAACAAGGCCAAGCGTTGGTGTAGAGTCGAGATCCCATTGAGGCTCTCCGACTTCTTTATGTATAGAACTTACCGGGTTCAACGACGACAACGAGTCGATATTCCATTAGGGCTTTCAGACTTCTCTATGTTTAGAACCTACCGGGTTCTACGATGGCAATGATTCGAGATCCCATTGGGGCTCTTCGACATCTTTATATCTATAAGCTACCGGGTTCTACGACGACAATTGGTCGAGATCCCACTAGGGCTCTTTGAATTCTCTATGCCTAAAAACAGATTGCAAACCATGTCGAACTAGAGTCATGATGGCGATTAACTTCCCTATACAGTCATCATGACAGGGAGAGATATGAGATCTTACAAGACATGCATCATCATTACTTTTAAAAAGCCACTATCAAACGTTAGCAGGACACGAGACGTCCGCTGGATTAAACCAAATCGCATGGAAGTACAACACATCCTGGAAGAATTCCAGGATTCTCTGTCTGAACATTTCATCCCGTTGGGCCTTGTGAGCGCGGAGGGGGGGGGGGGGGCTTATGTACACCCCGAAATTCTCAAAGCCAAGTTATAAGTCATTAGGGTCGAGAGGTGAAAGTCGGACGTGCCATGTACTTGAAAAAGATAACGATTATCGAATTGCTACTTATTATGAGACAAATAGGAGCCTGAGTCATATAGCTTTTGGAGACATGTTTTTGATGGTGAATACAAATCAGTGTAACGACTATAGGATATGTACATCTTGAATTCTGATATATCCAGGATGACTTACTTAACCACGATAGACTCATCTCGAATTCTATAAGGGATAGGCAAATTTCATTCACCAGTAATGAAATTATGATTTGTCCATTACAACATTCTTCCATAAATCAAGGAACGTTATGACCTCCATCAATAATGGACAATTGTAATTGCTATTTTACTAATGACCATCAAAATGTTACTTATATCCATTAAATATAATTGTGTGAGTCTTTTGAAATCCTGACATACAGAGAATAACAGTATAAATACAAGGCAGACAATAATAAAAAAGAGAGGAGATAAACATATACACATAATAAAAAAAAAAGAGCACAAAAATAGTGGTCATACATTTCTTCTAAACAACACTCCAACCATCCAATTCTCTTTGATTGTAATTTCAACTAACATAACTTTTCGAATTTTATTTAAATTTGTGTTTAAGTAAATTCATTTTTTATCTATTTACTTATACATATTTAAAATTTGAAAAAAATAGAGTAAAATATGGTTTTAACTCGTTTTTTCATCTACCATATAAAGAAAGAATTAAACATAAATAAAAATAATTCTTATTAATTTAATAAATAAATCACACAAAATTATAATTTGTCTGTTTTTCAAAAATAAAAATAAAAACAAAGCTGTACTCAAAAGTTGAGCTAATTTGGTTTCTGTAATAACGTTAAAAAAAGAAAAAATACACGCTCCTTCTAGGACCGTGCATCGATGTCCTAACCCTTACTGTCCAATAGAAAAATAAATACATGGACTTACAAATGACAGGCATGTGATATTAGTACCGACTACTCAAATTTGAAATGGCAACATAAACACACTGTAACAAGTCTAATCTACTTGTTAATGACTTAACGTGCACTCAATTTAATACTACTAATACATGTGGTTCTTGTTGCATATAAAAACTCCTCGAACCAACCAAGTAATTCGTCATTGTCTCATAATTCTCTACTTATTACTGTTAAGTTCATATCAATAAAGAAAAAGAATCAGATATTTTTCGGAACCAAATCTGAATCAGACAGAAAAAAATGGGTGCTCTGGATCACATTTCTGAACTATTCGACTGTTCCGGTGGCAGTTCCCATCACAAAAAACGCAAACAGTTACAGGTAAGTAACATCAGATCAGATCCATTTAATTAACTTCTCTATTTTGTTTTTCTCTTTGTTTTTTCTTACGGAACGAATCATTCGTATTCGTTCTGAGACTGAGAGATTAGTATTAATGTAAAAAGTAAAATGAAAATGAAATACTTTTATTATGATGAAACAGACGGTGGAAGTGAAAGTGAAGATGGACTGTGAAGGATGTGAGAGAAAAGTTCGAAGGGCGGTGGAAGGAATGAAAGGGGTAAACCAAGTTGATATAGAACGGAAAGCAAACAAAGTAACTGTTGTTGGTTATGTTGAACCAAACAAAGTGGTGGCGCGTATAGCTCACCGCACTGGGAAGAGAGCTGAGATATGGCCGTATGTTCCATACGACGCCGTTGAACACCCGTACGCGCAAGGTACGTATGATAAGAAAGCACCTGCTGGTTATGTTAGAAACAACTATGGTGATAATCAATATTCTGGATCTCATCTAGCGCGTGCTAGTTCCACTGAGGTTCGTTACACCACCGCTTTCAGCGACGAGAACCCCGCCGCATGTGCAGTTATGTGATGCGATGACGTCACTTTCCGTTACCGGCTTTGTTTGTTACTAGTATAGTATTGTAGTGTTTGCGTTGTGTGTTTATTCAGTTTTGTAAATTATTGGTATGTTTTTTTTGAGAATCAGTTTTTGGATAATCGATTTTTCGATTAAGATATCTGCAAATTTGTCTCTCCACTGTCATTAATTGCAAATGATTTTTTTAATGAAATAATTATGAGCTGTGCTGGGCTTTTGGTCATTCAACTTGTAATAGTAGCATGATAATTGCTAGCTGGAATAATTAGTTTTCATATTATGGTGTGAAAACAAAAGGTCAAGCTTTTTTTTCTTTTCTACAATAATGATGATACTAACAAGCATGTGCCACAACAAATATGTATGTGTCTTCCAACCACAACGACGTGATGGATGGAATGGCCGCATTATATCAGGATATTCAATTATTTGATTTTTACTCCACTTTTGGAATAAAAGTTCCAATATGCTCTACATTAATAAATGTAATGTACTACTAGTATAAGAGAATTATATATATAATCTATTTTTCACAATAATATTATCCAATATACTCATATTTTTAATCAATTTCTCATAATATCTATCTTTTAAAAAAAATTAGTAAAAAATTCGTGCGTCCGCACGGGGTCTTGTTTTTTAATTGATTTGGAAAAAAATTAGTTGGAAAAAATGAATTAATAAAAAAAATGGTTAATTGAATTACAAAACAAAAAAATTGGAATTATAAGTGGAAAAATGTGAAGGTCTACTATAATAAAAAAGTTTCATCACGGTGAAAAAGTTTTACTGTTTTGCTTGATAGAACTTTTGGGTTCTTGCTGCTTCTTCTTGAATTTTTAAATTTTACATAAATAAATAAAAACATCTTCTATGGTTGTTTTTTGTCATCAACTATCTTTGTTATTCTTCCTATGCGTGAAGAGGGGCACCAATAGGTCAATAGTCCCCTTTAAAATATAATAAGGGGCGTTAATAAAGATAAAACCATCTATATAATTTAGGAGAGGGCGCCAATAGTCTTAAAGTTTCTTCTTAAATAATTTTTTTAAATATTTAATAAATAATGTATTATATAATAATGTACAATTAATAAATAATTTTATTTTATAATAAATTAATTATATTGGCGAAACATTGTACATTAATTTGTAGGATTGGATCGAAATAGATGTTTGTTAGTACCTCAAACTATATGTTTTTATTTTATCACTATCTTATAATAAAAGTAAATACATAATATGAACAACGTTACCACTTGCATCCAGACATAAAAATAAACCTATTAGTAGCATGATATAAAATTTTACTTTTCTATTTTTTTTTAAGTTTCAGAAAACTTCTGTTAATGTTATTGCTTTATAATTTCTTTTTAGTCATGATAATAATAGTTTTTGACCCCTCACATTTCTAGGAGTCGTGGCAACTCCTAAAAGTTGTTCTGATACATTAACATTAATATTGGTGAGACTGTTTTCCGCCTTACCATTAATTGGTAAGCCCAACAACATGTAAGTGTCTTCGAGGGTGGTAATATTGGAGTCGCTGCCAGCATACACTCTTGATGGAATGCGTGTTGATGGAAGTAGGATATTCTCTCATCTCTTTTAGGTATTTCAACAATGTATCAAAGATTTTGCATTCTGCAAACCTGTTATTCAAGTTGATGGAACATGGTTATATGGAAAATACAAATGAACATTGTTGATGGCAGTTGCACAAAACAGAAACAATAATATATTTCCAATTGCCTTTTCTCTAGTCGAAGGTGAGATTGGTGAAGCTTGGAGTTTCTTCCTCAGGAATCTCAAAACACATGTCGCTCCGCAAGCCAACTTATGCTTTCGACAGACACGCCTTAATTGTGAGCACTTACAATAATTCTGCTAATGGTTGACACAATCCTCCTTCTATCCATGTCTACTATATAAGACACATTGCTCAAAAATTTATGCAGGAAATTAAAGACAGAGACCTTCGTAAAAAAAGTTGTGAATGCGGGGTATGCCTTAAACCAACCACCATTCTTGTACTACGACGAAGAAATAAGATTATCGAATGCAAATGTATTAAGTTGGGTAGATAGCACTCCAGTGGAGAAGTGGACAAGGGCATTTGATGAAGGGTGTCGATGGGGTCACATGACAACAAACTTTGTGGAATCCCTGAACGGCGTATTTAAGGAAACTAGAAGCCTACCCATCACTGCGTTGGTGAGAGCAACCTATTATAGGTTGAGATCACTATTTGCAACAAGAGGCAAAAAATGGAGAGTTGTTTTGAAAACGGGGAGATTATTCAGCGAAACCTGCATGAAATATATGAATGAGGAAACTGTTAAAGCGACCTCACATCGAGTTAGATCATTTGAACGTCACGATTACAACTTCATTATTGACGAGACATCACAATGCGCGCTGACCAATGGGATACTACAGGGTGGAAATTCATAAAAATTGGTGCGATTGCGGAAAATTTCAAACCTTTCGTATGCCTTGTTCACATGTCATTGCGGCATGTTCCAGTATTCGTCAGGATCCATTCTTGCAACTATCAAAAGTTTACAAGGTCGTGAACTTATTCAATATCTACAATAATAGCTTTCTGGTGGTAGCTAGTGAGGACTATTGACCAACCTATCATGGGGACACAAAAACATGAGAATAAACAAAAAAGACAGTCCCAAAAACACGTGAATTAAAACCAAAATGGATACAATTGAGAAAATGGAAAGATTATGTGGAATATGTCGTCTTCTCAGACGTACAAGGAAACATTGTCCCAATGTTGGAACAAGTTCTAGATAGATTTATGTTATTAAAAAAGTTGTAACTTTGGAATTTAATATTTATAACTTCTGGTTACAAGAAAGCAAACTAAAATACTTCTAAAACAACACTAAAAACCATTAAGAATATAGAGATTTATACTACACAAAATCTAAGATATAACAACAATCAAAACAATATCATCAGTTCCAAACATCACAGCCCTAACGTCGTTGTCATTTTTAATTCGCAACCATTCACACTGTATATTGCCATCTGCAATCGAGAAGTACGAAACAAGTCTTTCAATACTTCTAATTCTTTCACCATCTGAAATGTCTCCTTCTAACCAACTATTTAAATTCCTTTGTAGTTGCTCTAAACTTTGGATGTTCCAAAATTGCATTCTTATTGGAGACTTGTTTTGTGAAAAAATAACATGCACATATCTTCTAAGATACATGATTGAATCTGTAGAAGTTGAGAATGAAATTGTAAGAAACAAATGACAATTTAAGTGTGAAAGAATTTGCAAGTTATGATATCTATTTATACAAGAAAAATTTCAAATAAAATAATAATAAATATTTTAATATTATATAATATATTAAATATTAAAAATTAAATATATTTTCATGTTATAAGGGGACTATATTACTATTGGCTCCCCCTTAAAATTTAAAAGATGACTCCAAAGGTATTGACGTTTCCACTTTAATCTTTAAAGGTGACTTTACCCCTATTGGCACCCCCCTCATTAGGTTTTAAAGAGGACTCCAGGCCTATTAGCGCCCCCTTCACTTTTTTAAAAAGTTGAATATTTTAGAAAATTAGTTGGAAACATGGATATATTGGATAATATTCTAGTGAAACATGGTTATATGAGTAAAATTTTCAAGAAAAAAAAGTTGATTATATTTGAAAATACCCAAATTAATAATATAAAATCTATTTTTAAAAATATTTCCAAACTAATGTATCCAACTATTAAATATATTTTTTAAAATAATTATTGTATTGATTTATTAAAATATATTAAGATTATTATTGTAATTTAATATTTATTGATTTAATTAATCTATTAAATTTACAAATTAACTCACTTTCGAGGCTTGTGTAGCCATGTCATCTTTTTTAATATGATTGAAATAGTATACCTATTATTTCAAAATATCACTACCCGCTTAAAAAATCTAATAACCATATTTGCATGCTGGTGTTGCTTGAAAAAAATGGATAAAAGTGAAAAAAAATACAAGAGTGAAACTTCTTTTGCATTTCCTTCTTCTAATCTTTCTTTGATCTTTCTCCGCAACTAATTATTAGTCTTCTCTCATTTTAAAAAAAAAAATCATCTAATATATCTGTGAGATTTTAGGTCGAATTCTAGCTCTATTGAGAAATAACTTTCATGTGTTTCGAAAGAAGACAAGCATGAAGTCGAAGTTGGATCACATGCTGATGTCAAAGGGTTACATATTGTAGTCGAAATTAGTTCTAGTATGTAATGTCGAAATATATATATTGTTGACTTATTATGTCGAATTGGGCCTTGTGTTAAGGATTCAATTGTTTAGTTAGCTAGTTAGTCTATAAACAGGATAGATCACTTAGGTTGTTTGGAGTGGCCAATTGTGTTATTCACTTGTAATCTTTATAATAATGAGAAAGTGAATAGTATAAGAATTTGCCCTAATCTTTCTTCCTTTTTCTTCTTTATCCTTTCTTCTTTCTCTTTTGTTATAACTGATTTCATTGTTCACCCAAGAACTCTGTTTCTCAATTTTTATTTATTGAAAGGTATCGTTTGTGATCACAACAAACTGGTGCGGTGAGCGTGGAGAAGATATCGTCAACAAAGTTTGAAGTTGAGAAGTTCATCGGAGTTAATGACTTCGGTTTATGGTGTTTGAAGATGCAAACCCTTCTTGTTTAACAGGGTTTGCTAGAAGCGTTAAAGAGAGAAGATGCAATGGATGTTGCATTGATGGAGAAGGAAAAGACAATGATGATCGAGAAAGTCCATAATACAATTGTTCTAAGTCTTAGTGATAAGGTTTTCAGGCAGGTTTCGAAAGAGACGATGGCAATGGGTGTTTGGCTGAAACTTGAAGGATTGTATATGAAAAAATCCTTGCTGAATCGTTTGTACTTGAAGCAAGATTTGTATTCATTCAAGATGAATGAAGATAAAGCATTGACAAAGCAGCTAGATACATTCAG